ACATAGGACTTGTATTTATGCGCAAATTTAAGAAACATGATAGGGGGGGGGGTTCTTTTCAAGCAAAACAGATTGTTCAAGAGCTTGCAGTGTCTGATGTGCACAGGTAATGTCAAAATATAATATTTTTGACAAGTGAAAAAAAAAAAATCTCAACACATTTATAATACATACATAAAAAGTAGAAAAGTTACAGGTGGTGTATTCCTTTACAACTATGCCATTTTCAATGAAAAATAAGCTGCTTCCTTGATAAGCAAAAAAAATAAATAAATAAATAAATAAATAAATATATAAAAAAAAAATCAGGGAGCGAGAAGATTTATTTATTTTTCCTGAAGAACATCTAGCATACTTTACCTGGGCAGCAGTAGCAGCATTTTGGAGAAGCCGGCCCTCTTCCCACAGACACCTGGCCACAATCCTTGCTATCTCCATAGGTTTCTCCAGGTACCTACTCTGCAAGTTGAAAACATTGAAGACTCATTTAGAAAACAAAAGGAGGTAGAGCGGTTATATTCCATTTCTCAATTTAAGAATAAAAATGTGAACTCTATATTGTAAACAAGTTTGAGCAGGGTCCTCATCAACCTATTGTTCCTGTAACATTTTATATTTGTCTAATTTAGTTAAAATTTCCACCTTTTAGAATATTGTAAAGTACTGCGGAATAAGTTGGCGCTATATAAATGCCAGTAATAATAAATAACTGAAGTAGGACAGAGTCTGAAATCACCAACACTAATCAGAACAGCAAAGGCCCTTTTGTTCACGGCAAATCCGCAGGTTCTTCAAGAAGTGATTAACATTTGTCAGCAAATGCATGAGCTCTCAATGGGAGCACTTTGCATTTAACATACAGCCGCAAATCAACAGTTGTTTACAGGATATGTAGTTCAGGATTCATGCAAAGAAATAAAAAATAAAATGAATTGGCAATCTAATATAAAGTTGTTTCTACTTGCTAGTCTTCTAGCTTAGTTTCACAAATCAGGAATACTCCATTGAATAAAAATTTTTTTTTTTTTTAAAAGCGTGTGTCTGAAGTGCTTTGTGTGTCCAGAGTGTTCCTTTAAGCCATGCGTGCAGCTTCAGCAAAATCGATTTCATGCTACATTGCAAATTGTTGCAGTTATAATGAGGATGGGGGACAGGGAGAGCCTTTCGACATAACCAAAGCAAGTAACATTGGTTGGTTTAGTGCACAGTTTAATAAATTACTATTACGCAACTTGGAAGAAAGGCTATATCCAGCTTACATGAGTCAGCAGACAGCATCATGGCTCAAATCCAACACAAAATATTCACAAAATATTACTCAATACAAGCAAGCAACTAATTGAGAGGCTTGTGGGCTTAAAACATGTTCTGCATAAAGATTTTTCCTGCAAACTCTAAACGTACAGCACATCTTCCTACCTTCAGGTATCACCAAGACTGAGCAAAACATTACTAAGCCGTTTATCATCCAATTAGGGCAAAGAATAACATGCAGCACCTAGGAGTTCTGTAAATTTAACAGAACTCACAGGAGATTTAGTATATAAAGATTCCAGGTCAATTTACATTAACCACATAAGAACAGCCTAAATCCCTTCTGGTACCAGGTAACCCCATATATTTTTCAATACCTGGAATCCCCAGACTGGCAGGAGAGCTATAAGCAGCGATCAAAGTAAACGTTGCTAATGGTTTTTTAAATTCATTTTGAAGACCAGCTGCTCACAGAGAATGAAGTCACCAGAAAGGAGTCCCATGAAGTCCTAAGATCTGACCAAAACACATCGCACTATTCCCTACTCTCCCTTAGCTATATTAACACAGGGTTGGCAGCTCTGAATATCGTAGCACAAAGCCTTGTTCACAAAATTACACTGAACGGGGTCGTGAATGTGTCTGATGTATTGTGACTGCATCCGATGTGATGAATAGAACTATAAGTTGGGTCTGAACTACTTATCCCGTCAACACCTACTGGACACTAATCATACTTCAACACGTAATGGACTAAAAAACTAGCACAGACACAAAATGTATATAGAAGGACCCAAAGTTTATTTTAGCAACGACTGCCAAATTCACTTTCATTTTAAAGATCGCATGTCATACCAATGATTTTTCAACCTGAATTATGGTAACAAAGACAATTTATCCCTGATAAGATGTACATGAAGATGATGTGGTTGATTACCTTTCATATGACCCCTTCTTACCTGCAAAAACTGCTTTATCCTCCTCAGATTATGTTGATATAGAACATTTGATTCCTGTAGAAACCTGCTGTATTGTTGGTCTATTTCACCCAAAAGATTGTGAAAAACAAGTGTGGCATGGGATTCTTTACTTGCAGCAAAACCCCTTTAAGAGAAAAACATAATTTTATACTTGGATACATGACATAAGACTGACCCAGCATCCCATGAAATTTGCCCACTGTACTAGAGAGACATTAGTAAACATGGCGTACACAAATATTCAGCATTAGAAAAGGAGAACTTACCAGTCTTGGCTCTCTATCCAAGGTGCCAGAAATTGACGCAGCTCCATAGGAAAGCTGTCGCTGTAAAGTTGGTGCAACTGTTCCAAATATCTGGTATCCAGCTGCTGTAACTGGTTCCATTGTGTCATTTTGTGCCACGAAGGGCTAAAAAAACAAAACATTAAAAAAAAAAAAAAGTTTAAATATGGCGACTACTACTCATAACACACACAACCCCCAAAAAAGTAACAGCATCAGAGGAATAAGGTGAATTAAATTTTTATATATATATATATATATATATATATATATATATATATATATATATATATATATATATATATATATATATATATATATATATATATATTTATTTTATTCTCTCCAGCCCCACTATGGGAAATCCCATTAAAGAACGTACATATAGCTAATGTAAACTAAAAACACAAGAAGCCCGTTGCATTTAAAACTTCAAAAGGCAATGAGAAAATGAGAAATTCCGTTTTGTTTTATTGAGGTTTTAACACTATAACCTCTTCAAAAATAAGTACAAGTATTCATTTTAATTTGGTATTTCATTTTGCAAATAAAATGGGCCAGTCTGAAAAAAAACTAGACATTCTAATACACAAAACAAAAACAAAAAAGCAAAATATCAATAATCAAATCATTATTTCTACAGGAAACCACTACAATCCAATCTACAGATGTTTTGTAGACATATCAATGTAAATATGCAAACAAGCTTTATTATGCTCGCATATGGTTACAAAAACATGGCTTTCCTGTAACCAGTTTAAGCTAAAGTCTTTTTGTTATCCACCCTCCCTTGCCACTGCCTGCTACTCCCCTAATTTTATCTTGCTTTAAGACATGGTTTATGAGGTCTCAACACACAAGGCTGTCTAGCAGTCTGCACACTGCAGTGCACCGCTTTTAGCAACAGCAATAAATCAATGGGAATTACAATCCTATTAAACTGTACAAAGATGTCTCAGCATGGGGGGAGAAATGGAATGTATGCTTTTACAAGGAAGGCAATGCCTGAAGAAACCCAAGTATGTACCCTGCAGCCACACTAGTGATATGTAATGGATGGATCTGTAATGTCAAAACAGATTTTAAAACCACATGGCAGCAAGGAATGTTTCAACTTTTGTTAAACGCATTTAAGCAGGCATGGCCAAAAGGAAGACCTCTAAGCTTATAAAACAAAACAAAACCACAACACCTATGATGCTTTGTCAGCCTTTAAGCCCGAGACATCTACCTTTTGACCACCACTGTATCCTTTACAGTCAATACAAACAAAAGACACTATTCTGCATTAGACACCCAGGAAGGTTCTTATCACTGCAAGAGTATTTGACAGTGGGCGTTACAATTCATTAAAGATCGAATAATCATTAAAATATTCGTTTACGGAAAAGAACATGCTAGTCCTAAGATAAAACAACTTCAGTATTTTAAATTACCACAAAAAAAAAAATTTAAAAAAAAAATCTAGATGCAGAAAAGTAATCTTAAATCACAAAAGCTGACAATCTAAAGAACTCATGGAGAGAAAATGTAGCATAGCAGCAGATAGATTATACACCATACCTGCTCTACGACAGCCCCTCCAGTGTCCAAACGTTTCGATTACAAAAGATTAACAGACAACAGGGACCTACTGACACAGATCAGAGAACTTGCTACTGTGAAAACATGTAGGTTTGCTATACAGAACAGAAAACAGGCAGGGAAGTGTGTTCCTGATTCCAGATTTAACCAAGTACAAGGACTTCCAGTAATGCAGGCAAGAGGAGGTGGAGCCTTACAGTAATCCATGCTCAGAACATAGAATGACAATATTGACTCTAGAGCTCAAGTGGAAAATGAACAGTCTGTACAGCTCACCACTGCAAATGAACAGTAACCTGACAGGCCATAGAGAGACCTTTCAGCTATTGTGTCTGGAGCTGTGCTATGATAAACCGTTACAGTTATGTCTTTCAAAGGGCAGGTTTTAAAAAGGGTTTCTTTTCTCCTGCTAGGATATATTTTTCCACCCCCATTAACCCCTTAAAGGACCACTCTAGGCACCCAGACCACTTCAGCTTAATGAAGTGGTCTGGGTGCAAGGTCCTTCTAGGGTTAACCCATTTTTTTATAAACATAGCAGTTTCAGAGAAACTGCTATGTTTATGAATGGGTTAAGCCTTCCCCCAAAGCCTCTAGTGGCTGTCTCATTGACAGCCACTAGAGGCGCTTGCGTGCTTCTCACTGTGATTTTTACAGTGAGAGCACGCCAGCGTCCATAGGAAAGCATTGAAAATGCTTTCCTATGTGACCGGCTGAATGCGCGCGCAGCTCTTGCCGCGCGTGCGCATTCAGCCGACGGGGAGGAGAAGAGGAGGATCGGAGGAGGAGAGCTCCCCGCCCAGCGCTGGAAAAAGGTAAGTTTTAACCCCTTTCCCCCTTCCAGAGCCGGGCGGGAGGGGACCCTGAGGGTGGGGGCACCCTCAGGGCACTATAGTGCCAGGAAAACGAGTATGTTTTCCTGGCACTATAGTGGTCCTTTAAGGGGCACCCTCAGGGCACTATAGTGCCAGGAAAACGAGTATGTTTTCCTGGCACTATAGTGGTCCTTTAAGGACCAAACTTCTGGCATAAAAGGGAATCATGACATGTCATACATGTTATGTGTCCTTAAGGGGTCAAAGGAGCACTCCAAGTGCCCATGTTATGTGCTGCCTCTGCCTGTGAACTTCCTCTGACCTCATCAGAAGTGGTGGCCTGATCCAATCACAATGCTTCCGCATAGGATTGAGACTGACAAAGAGGTAGATCGGGGCAGAGCCAGCATAATTCAAACACAGCCCTGGCCAATCAGCATCTCCTCATAGAGATGAACTGAATCAATGAATCTATGAGGAAAGTTCAGTGTCTGCATTCAGAGGGAGGAGACACTGAATGTTTGGATGCATTTTAGGCAGCCATGACCCAGGAAGGATCTCCTAACAGCCATCTGAGGAGTGGCCAGTGAAGGTATCACTAGGCTGTAATGTTAACACTGCATTTTCTCTGAAGAGACAGTGCTTACAGCAAAAAGTATGAAGGTAATGATTCAACTCACCAGAACAAATTCAATAAGCTGTAGTTCTGTTGACTATAGTGTCCCTTTAAGGAATGAATCCTCCCCCCTTCTCCATCTCAGCCTGACTTGGACCATACCATCCCTACCCTCCAAGACTTCCCTCCAGCTACTGAACAGGAGGTGGCTGCGCTTCTCCTCTCGTCCCACCACCTGTCCGCTTGATCCAGTGCCCTCACACTCACATGTCTTATACCATCCTTAACTGCTCTCTTTCATCCAGCATTGTCCTTGCTCCCCTTAAGCATGCTACGGTCGCACCCATCCTAAAAAAGCCATCCCTAGACCTGACTTCCACTTCCAACTATGGTCCCATATCCCGGGTTCCTTTTTCCTCAAAGCTTCTAGAAAGACTTGTCTTTACTTGTATGACTTGCTTCCTAAATTCCAACTCCCTCCTCGATCCTCTTCAATCTGGCTTTTGCCCCCTCCACTCTGAGACTGCTCTTATTAAAGTTACAAATGACCTAATCACAGCCAAATCCAAAGGCCACTACTCTATACTAATTCTTCTTGACCGCTCTGCTGCCTTGACACTGTTGATCAAGGACTCCTTCTCCTAACTCTTCAATCTCTTGTTCTCTGTGACACAGTCCTCTCGTGGTTCTATCTCTCCCAATGCTCCTTTAGTAACTTTGTCCAACAGCACCTCCTCTCCTCGTCCTGTCTCAGTCGGAGTCCCTCAAGGCTCAGTTCTTGGTCACCTTTTGTTCTCTCTCTATACTGCTTCTCTTGGCAAACGTATTAATTCATTTGGATTCCACTACCACCTGTACGCTGACGACACCGAGATATAAACTCTCCTCCCCTAAACGCTTCCCCTGCTGTCCTACAATGTGTCACCATTTGCCTTTCTTCTAACTCTACAGCAAAATTGGTCACAGGAACCGCACTCACTCCCAGCGGCCACAGGTGCTACGGAACAGGACCAGCAATCCCAACACGTCAAGGCAGCAAGAAAAATTCCCAGGCACTCAAAATGTGAAAGCCACAGGCAGATTTATTGCAACAAAATAGACAGCAACGTTTCGACCTATAAAGAGGGCTTTTTCCAAGCTTGAAAAAGACCTCGTTAGGTCGAAATGTTGCGGTCTATTTTGTTGCAATAAATCTGCCTGCGGCTTTCACATTTTGAGTGCCTGGGAATCTTTCTTGCTTTCTTCTATCTCTGACTACATGTCCTCCCACTTTCTGAAACTCAATCTCTCTAAAACCGAGTTTCTTATTTTTCTTCCACATAAAACTGATCCTCCTCCTTCACATTCCCTGGAAGTTGACGGTACCTGCCTCACTCCATCCTTTCAAGCTCGTGGTCTTGGTGTCACTTTTGATCCTGACCTCACCTTTGAGCCTCATGTCTCTGTTGCTAAAACCTGTCGATTCCAACTTAAAAACATTGCACGCATACGCCCCTTTCTTATGCAAGATGCTTCCAAGGAGCTTGTTCGCGCTCTAGTAATCTCTCGCATCGATTACTGTAATTCTCTAATTGGTTTGCCCAGAAGCCGTACTGCCCCCCTACGATGTGATGAAAGCTGCTGCCAGGCTGATCTTTCTCTGTCGCTCCTCACACGTCACCCCTCTGTCAATCCTTAAACTGGCTTCCTGTACCCTACAGGTGCCAATTTAAAATACTAAACCTTACATATAAAGCGCTAACCAACTCTAGCCCCTCTTACATTGCTTCACCGTTTCATAGGTATGCCCTCTCTCGGTCTTTCCGCTCTACTGGCAACCTTCTCCTGTCTGCTGCTCGCACCCTTACTGCAAATTCACGTCTGAAGACTTCTAATAAGTGGCTCCTTTCCTTTGGGCCAGCCTGCCTTTTTATACCCACCTCCTCTAGACTGTAAGATCGTTTGAGCAGGGTCCTCAACTACCTATTATTCCGGTTACATTTTGTTATTGTCTCATTTGGTAAATTCCCCTTTTAAGTGTAAAGCGCTGCAGAATAAGCTGGCACTATACAAATACTACTACTAATAATAATAATAATGAGAATTGAATTTAAAGGACCACTATGGGCAGGTCCATCTAGGGTTAACCCTGCACCTGTAAACAAAGCAGTTTCAGATTAACTGCTATGTTTACATATGGGTTAATCCAGCCTTTAGTGGCTGTCTCATTGTGATTTTCGCAGTGAGAAGACGCCAGCGTCCATAGGAAAGCATTAATAAATGCTTTCCTATGGACTGACTGAATGCGCGGGCAGCTCTTGCCACGCATACGCATTCAGCCAAGGACGTCGGATGGAGGAGGAGAGTCCCCAGCGCCGAGGGAGAAAGGTAAGAATTTAACCCCATCCAGCCCGGCAGGAGGGGGCCTATTAACACTATAGTGCCAGGAAAACAAGTTTGTTTTCCTGGCATTATAGTGGTCCTTTAATCATGGTGGGAAAAGCTTCATTGACGACATCGTAAGAGTCAGAGAAATAAGCAGCTCCAAGAGAAAAATAAATAAATAAAAATTCACATAATTAAAAGAACTACCGGTACATTGTAATTACAAAAAAAAACAGGGACACTATAGCATTATAAGTTATAAGGTTTGTTTGTATTTCTTTCTGCCTCAAATGGATTTGCAATCTATTACAAACTCCCTGCACAATAGGACACTTCGTCTGAGTCTTTTGTTCAAAGCATTGCCAGAAGAGACAACTGCTGTCACGTAAAGCTGTTCTCATAACACGTTCTTCGCTTACATTAAATACACAATGGCAAAAAGGAGGTCATGTTTATTTCTCGAACGCCATTTTTCCCCTCTGAATTTGTTCTCTAAACATCAAGTTCCTTTTAGTTTGCACACAACTGAGGCTATATGAAGGGGCAGCCAGCTCTTGATCTTCCTCTTTATAGGTGGTGACACAAAAGCTTCCAAAAAAAAACAAAAAAACACATGTGAAGGCCCCCCAGTTTATCCTCCACTCCCCCCTCCCCCCACCAGAAACTAGAGTACTAGGCACAGATCTTGAAAGCCAGCAAATTGAAGAAAATAAAATTGTATCTGCTCACACAGGCTGATTATCTCAGCCAATCCAATGCTTTCCCACAGGAAACAATGGAGGCTAGTGTGCATACATAGCAATATACCTCTATGAGACCATCTGATTATAAAAAGCCAAATTTGTCGAGTTACAGCCACTAGAGGCATTTAAACCCTGCAATGTTTACACTGCCGTTACTGCAGAACAATGTTTTACTTTGCAGGGTTAAGCAGACAGGGAGATGGCACCCAGAACACTTCACGAAGATGAAGTGTCTGGGTGCCTATCGTGTCCCATCTTTGGATGTCAGTACTGACATCAGCTAACACAGTACGGAGGACATGTGGTCCTAGAGTGCTTAAACTGAACACTCCAAGCAGATCAATCACTACTACATTGCCCTGTTTTAGAACCATTTGACTTCTTACGAAAGATCCACTGGGCACTATCAACCAATGAACTAGCCTACTAAAGGAGGCTTTCAAAGCGAAGTAGGTAGGAAGTGGTGCTCGGCAGACCCCAGCTATGAAATCGAACTATTCTAAAAACATTGATTCATGCCCTGATAATCGTATCCAGAATCAGACCGTTCATCATCCCTTTCTGAGAGGAACTCCGCTCTGCTAAATCTGGTACCTCCAAATTCATCCAGGACGCAGGATGTAGGGGGTTACAAATACTTTTCTTATTTGTTCAAGGCACCAAGTTTGAGCCAACTTCTAAGTGGCTCCACTTATGTGAGTGAGACCAGTATCTGGTGGTTATTTAATCACACTGTGACGTTATTACCCTATGTCTTTTTTCTGATTTTTTTCAGATTATTTGACTGCCATTTGGGTATTGTTTTTTATATTTATGTAGTGTACGCTCACCAATTTGTTTGTTTTTATTATTTACTGATTGTATTTGTGGTTTGTGGCCCACGGAGGTGATTGTAGCACCACTTTCCAGTAAACTTAATCTATCTGTATTTATACTATCCCTTTCTGAGTATGTGTTTTAGGGTAGCTGTGCATTTTGTATTCTGTTCTGGCTTTTTTAATATTTACACACTAGGATCTGACACAGTTTTGGACCTTAATTAAACTATATATTATATTCTGAACTTCACCCTCCCCTTTAAATTAAGACTAAAAGCACCAAAACCATATTAGATTAAAGGGATCCTATAGTGTCAGGAAAACAAACCAGTTTTCAACGCTGAAGTGGTTAAATCCTCCCCCGCCAACGTCAGCTCCCGAGTGGAGCCGAATGCACAGCTAGAGGCGCGCGTATTCAAACCCGCCCATAGGAAAGCATTACTCAGTGCTTTCCTATGGTGATCTTTTTTGACGCTGGACTCCGTGAGGACATCCAGCGTCAAATAAGTGCGATTTACTCCGTGTAAATCGTGGAAGCGGCCTCTAGTGGCTGGATTAACCCTGAAGTGTAAACATAGCAGTTTCTCTTAAACTAAAAGGGATAAAACTAGGGGAAGCCCCTGCATTCTCACTGTTCAATTCT